TTCACACATTAGCATGCACAGGCAGGTTGTGTACTGTTCTTAATATTAAAACCCTGTTTATAAGCACTGCAAGAAAAAAATAAAATTGAAATGTTTCAAACAAATGTTGTAGTATATTTTTTTTATCTGGATCTAAAATAAAGTTTACATTATCATAACTAGAAAATTCATGTTAAAAATTTTGAACTTAAGTTGAAACAGCAAATGTAAAGTAAAATGAACTTCAATAAAACAATTCAGCACTAGGCAAGATTTAAATTAGTGAGTTGAAATGACTTGTACTTTTAAGTTGATTTAACTTAAAATTTTAAGGCAGCCACAAAACGTACGTTTTTAAGTTGAAAGGGGTGAACATTTTTTACAGTGTACCGGTTGCACTGGTTGAGCACACTGTTTTTATAATTACTACTAGCCTATACAGTGACTTAAGTTGTGTGTAATGCATAACAGTGACTGTAAAATATCAATTATTTGGGAGTGGCAAATTTAGAGTTGTAATGTTTGGGCTAGGGTCATTGGGTTAGTGTTGATTGTCCATTAGACTGTTTTTTTTTATAATATCTTGCAACACTGATAGATTGTTAATGGTAATGTAAAGCTTGCAGGTGATCCAAAATATGTTAATTAGGGTTTTGTAATTTTAAAAAAGGTTCATACGAACGACTGATGTCTTACCTGACATGAATCTTTTCCTCCCTCATTTAACAATCCAGCACAAATCATATTGCTTGTGATGCCCCCTCCATAAGCATCATCACAGTCACTGCTGCTCACAACTGGTATCATCACCTCCTGCAGTTTGTCAGGAGACGAACCTGTGACACAGATCAGAGGACAAGTTTGGATGCTTTTAATGGCCAGTTACAGTCAATTGTTGAGCTTTACAGTTCTGTTGTTTTGCAAGCAAATCTGCACCTCCAGACTGTAGTGCTCCCCAGCCAGTGACCCAGGTCTCTGTACCTGCAGCGTATTTACTACCAGCAGCCGCCAGACAGACTGGCCTAATGTAATTAGTGAAAGTCACAGATGAAGAGAGTTTGAGCAGTGCTATGTCATTGTCATGGGTAGGATCGTAATAGTCAGGATGGTTGATGACACTCGCTGTCCTGAGAACTTCATTAGGGTTTGATCCCGACTGGCTCTGACGTCCCAGGTAGATCCGAATGGTACCCAGGGAGCTGTGCATAGGAAAAGTCTGTGTTAATTCAACTAGCATCATTTCATAATAGTGTCTTGAGTTGTATTTAAACTTCATACCTCTGGAAGCAGTGCGCTGCAGACAAAACCCAGTCTTTGTTGATTAGACTCCCACCACAGAAATGGCCCCCAAATGCGGTGCTGTGAATGCTGACTTGCCAAGGCCAAGACCCTGCCGTTGCATCCTCTCCTCCAACAATCTTGGTGTTGAGGGGGGCTTGACCACACACTGATGAGAGGAAAGACAATGACAATTAAAATGATATAATACACACAAGATATGTGGAATGATAGTTTTATGGTCGTTAAATCCATGACAACTTACCATCTAACTGGCAGAGAGAACCTGGAAGACAGAGACCAAACAATTAGATGAACATACATGGAGTTGATTAACTGGTTTGTGTGGCCTGCAACCTCACTCTTTCACCTTTTACATAAGTGTTGGCACATACCATTGCCGTGAATCAAGATAATAGTTTGACGTGGATTGTAGTGTTTAAGGATTATAGCCTGGTTGTGAAATGATTTCATTGTCTTGCCAGGAAAATAGAAGCTGATCCGGTCAGTAATGTGAGCTAAATTAGGAGGCCTGTTTCACACTGTGTGAAGTAGCAGTGTAACAACAAAAGCAGGTTTATGTGCTTCGAAACTGATAGAATCTCACAGTTTTTGGGTTACAGAAAACACAGTTTTGGGTTACTGCATTAAGTATTTGTTTTAATAATGGCCATAAATTATAAAATGGTTATGAGTAATTGGTCTGTGAGGCAGGCACGTGCACAGGTAGGGCGCAACCTGTGCAGAGCACATGCCCTTTTTGCCCTTACCTCCGAAGTGCCCTTTTTTTTGGAGATGGTGTTTTTTTTTTCCTTCAATAAATCAATGATATTGGTCACCCTTTACATCTGTCTGTCTGCTTTACAAATATTTAGCTAATGAAAGGTATGTTATTTCAATTGTCATTAAGGGGGGGGGGGCACATGCCCCTCAAAAGGTCTGTGCACGGCCCTGCTGTGAGGGCTATGCTTTAGTCAATCTAATTTGCATATATAATTTTCACATCAATTTATGGAATCAAATTGATATCTAAAAGGTAATTCATCAACAAAAATAATCAGATTTTAACTTTTAAAAAAAGTGGGTAAGTAGTTTGCTTAAAGGGGTCATATGATGTTGCTAAAAATAACATTATTTGGTGACACTACTGCTGTTCCTGAAACCACGCTTTCTTTCTTTGCGTGCACATTTGGGCGGTGTTATGCAAATCTTCCCAGATCGTGACGTAGGTATGTGGGGGCGTGTTAGAACGAGCCATTTTAGGTAGGCGTGGTTGACTCTTAACTTTTATAATGAATATCTCTTTGGATTTGAGACTTTAGTCTTTGCAACTTTACAGATCTTCTTTATGCACCAAGAGCTTGTAACACTCCAAAGAGAAAGGAAAAATTAAAAACGCATCATATGACCCCTTTAAGTGTTTTATGCTGCTTCATAAAAGCTTATATTGTAACAGATCATGTTGATTTATTTTGTAATTTCACCATTTATTTGTTACTGGGCATGGCAAAATTGGCTCACCAAAACTACTTGCAATTACACTTCTACACTGTAAAAATTATTTTCTGAAGTTGTAAAAACTTTTTCTGTGTTTAATTCAGTGTGTTACTTGCTGAATCTTTGTAATTAATTTAATAGCAATTTCTAAGTGAAAATTGTTTCTATACCAATTTTTCCTGCTATGTATATGCTTGTTATACACATACACATATGTTATACACTTGTTATATGGTGTTTTTCCCTCAGCATTTAGACAGGCTTGTACAACCACACTACTTAAGAAACCCACCCTTAACCCATCTCTTTTAGAGAACTACAGACCAAGACTGACTGTCAAGAGCAGATTCCAAATCTTCAATACTTATCTTGCTGGATATTCTAATTCTATTCTTTAAAAAAAAAAACATGTCCCTTTTAGGCTTGCACTCTATTCATTTACTGCTTGTTTTCTTTAAAAAAACAACAACTAACAATAGCTTTTCTAATCATTTTGTATTCTATCTGTTTTCTTTTTATTTATTATACAATTAACAAAAGCAAAAAAGGCCTCTAACACTAGCTTGCTCTATTCTTTTTCTATTCTATCTGTTTACTTTTAATTTATTATATAATTTTTAAAAAACTTGCTACGTGTACTGCGTTAAGATGACTGAGACTTCTTATAGCACTTGCATATCATTGCTCTTTTGTTGATTTTGATTGCTTCCATTGTCCTCATTTGTAAGTCGCCTTGGATAAAAGACTAAATGTAGCCTAAATGTAAATATGCTTGCGTGAACGGTACGCTTAATGTTTAAATACACCCTATACTCACTGCTTACTTGTGCAGCTGCTGTGAAACAGGTCTTACAGCCACTTTCAGGATCTTTTATTTGCCCTAGTGACATACTTGGACTCTTAACATGAAAATAATTATGCTTTAAAGGGCACCTATTATGCAAAATCCACTTTTACAAGGTGTTTGGACAGAAATGTGTGTTGGAATTGTGTGTACACAGCCATCTTAGAATGATAAAAATCCATCCAGTCTTTTTTTTTAATCTTCATAAAACCAAACCAGGCTCAAAAAACGAGCGGTTTGGATCCTGTCCGCAATATGACGTCATATTGACTGACAGACGTGTATTACTATACCCTCAGCTCTCAGGGTGTTGTGCTATGTCCGCCATTTTGTCTGCGTGCGATCGGCTGTGTCGCATCCATCGTTACAAAGCGGCTGTGAAAAACTATACAAGTACAATAAATGATTTAAACTACCATTCCGAGACAGTCTGGTTCATTTGCATTATTGTTTCTTCTGCTGTAGTCTCTCCTTGTTCTGTGTCTGAGTCCAGTTCGTACATGTACTGTACGGCTGAATACCGGTCCTCTTACTCTCGCTCATGTTGCTTCTCCTCTCTGTTTATTGCCATATGCAAAGTAGATACGTCTAGGCTCCGCCCCCTTCTGGAGTCGGTCAGGAAGTTGCAGCTCATTTTCATGTATGGGAACACACCCCTGAAACAGTACTTTTTAGCCCCGCCCCAAAAATGACACTTTCCAACCAGTTATAATAAACGATCTGTATGGTATTTTGAGCTGAAACTTCACAGGCACATTCAAGCCATAAGATTAATATTACATCTTGTAAAAAGGGGCATAAAGGTTTTCATAGATTTGACATATACCCATTTAACACAATAAAAAATAAAGGTTCTTTATTGACATCTTTGGTTCCATGAAGAACATTTAATACCCCTGAACCTTTTCATTTCACAAAAGGATCATTATAGTGAAAAAAATTCTTTAGATTATTAAAATTCTGTTCAAAAATGGTTCTTTTAAGATATGTGCACTGAAAGGTTCTTTGGGGAACCCAGATTGGTTCTTTTATGGCACTGTTTTGGAATTTTTATTTTTAAGAGTGAATCAACAATCAAGCTACACTCTTAAAAATAAAGGTTCTTTATTGGCATTTATTGTTCCGTGAAGATCCTTTACATTGCACAAAAGGTTTTTATGGTGGAAAATGTTATTTAGATTATCAAAATGTCCTTCACATAAAAAATAAAATAAAATGAATAAATAAAAACATTTTAAAAACTGTTCACTGAAAGGTTATAGGGAACCAAAAAATGGTCCTTCTAAGGCATCACTGTGAATCCCCCTTTTGGGATGATTATTTATGAAATATTTAAACTGAATATTTATTATTCAAATATTATTGAAATATTAAATAATTACTATTATGATACTTGCAATATTAAAACAGCAGTATAATAGACAGTTGAATGTTTGTACACTACTAACCATTCTTTATTATTATCAAACATTTTCGTATTTTAGAACTATTTCGTTCAAAGTCGGCATCCCATTTTATATTTAATTTCAAGCATTTAAACATAGGATTTCAAATCAAAAGGTGTTTACAATCATGAGAAACACATAGTTTATGTGTTTGCACCAATTGCCATTTCAGGTATCAGTGTGCTTAAGTTACAAAGTTCATTAGCAACAGGAATTAAATTGACTTGTCATAATTAATCCATTTAAACATTATTAAATCAATAAATCATTTAACCAATACCAATACCAAGACTTACCTGCTATATTGAGAAGTATGGTTCCAGCAACACTCAAAGCTGTGTTTAACTTCATGCTTCTGCTCTGCTCTGCTCTGTGATCTGACCACTGTTTCCTCTACTCTCCGTCTCTAATGAGATGTAAAGCATGTGTTGCTGTGTTTATCAAGCATTCTCTGCCCAACCACTATGAGAGTCTGACTCATCTTTTTTTTCAAGCGCCTTTTATTGTGTATTTCACGCCCCAGTCACCTTTACAGGTAAAGTTAAGGATTACTTATTGAATACTTTCCAGTTCAACACTCTTAAAAACATTGCTTAAAAGGTTGTTTATGACACAGCGATGACAAAGAAGAACCATTTTTGGTTCCACAAAGAACCATTCAGTCTAAGGTTTTTTAAAGAACCATCTCTTCTTTTTATAATCTGAAGAACCGTATTTCACCACAAAGAACCTTTTGTGAAACAGTAAGGTTCTTCAGATGTTAAAGGTTCTTTATGGAACCATTTAGATAAAGAGATTCTTCTATGGCATCATGAAGGTCACTTCACTACACATTACCACACTATTTTTTTCAATGTAGTGTAAAATAAGTGATTTGTACTATTACTATTTCTAACCAAGTTGCAGTTTCTATAGAATTACAAGTGTCAAGTGTCATTTGCATTGACGATGACTTGCTTTAGCCAGTCATCTAGTTTTACCGGTTTTGTTACTATGAACAAACCTGAACATTTCTCTCAGGTGAAAACATTTCCTAATGGCCTGGGTGATGATCGCATGTACTGTACAATTAACTGCACATTCACATGTGATTTTAAGTAAGTCATTATTTCTTAGTATGAGAATTTTGATTGTTGCTTAGAAATGATCAGTTTCACATTTGCCCATTATAAATCTGCTCTTCATAAAGAATTTAATAAACCATTAAAAGGCAATGGACATGGTTAACAGGAGTTCTTACAATCTGTTGATCATCTCTGAATTATTAGCAGCAATGTCGCGAGTACACACTACAAAAATTCTCAACTGACATCCATGTAAACAAATCTTGCTTATTTCATGTCAGAGATACCATTCTCTTGGGTATGGTTTTATAAATTAAATTAATATTTGTTTATTCTGCAAATACATCAATACATCATAATAATGGGAACTGCTTTTGTTGTATAAAGTATTCTGGTTTATCCTTTTGTTTATTTAGCAGGTTCCAATTGTATAGTACAAAAAAATTCCAATTTCATTATTTTCGCAAACAGTCATAACAACATGCAGAAACATCATTCAGTTGCATTGTTATAACAGATGACAAATCATAAAAATATGAAAATATACACAGGACTTTTTTTTCTAACAAGTCAGTTCTCTTTCAGGATAAACTATGGCTCATTCACAGGGCAGTACAGTTTCAATTACTTTTTTTGTTTTGTTTATGTTTGGTAATGAAAATTTGTTCATTGATTACGTTGGCCTCAGTGTAGTACATTTTTATGTACCCACCATATTAATAATTAAAAAACAGTATGTTTTGGATATTGAACTGATTTTTTTTTTAGGCTGTTAGTAACTGACAATCAATTTAAGCAGCAAAATGTTTAAAAATTAACTTCATGTTGACACCCTGATTAAAGAGTTCAAAAGTACATTAGTGTAACACATTTGTGTAAAACATTAGCTTTCACAGAGAGGCTGAACCCTGACAAAATACCTTTGCACTTAAAAGTGCATATTATGTGTAGTCATTACCCATCCCTTTTTGTTAATATGAAAATATACACAGGACTTTTTTTTCTAACAAGTCAGTTCTCTTTCAGGATAAACTATGGCTCATTCACAGGGCAGTACAGTTTCAATTACTTTTTTTGTTTTGTTTATGTTTGGTAATGAAAATTTGTTCATTGATTACGTTGGCCTCAGTGTAGTACATTTTTATGTACCCACCATATTAATAATTAAAAAACAGTATGTTTTGGATATTGAACTGATTTTTTTTTTAGGCTGTTAGTAACTGACAATCAATTTAAGCAGCAAAATGTTTAAAAATTAACTTCATGTTGACACCCTGATTAAAGAGTTCAAAAGTACATTAGTGTAACACATTTGTGTAAAACATTAGCTTTCACTGAGAGGCTGAACCCTGACAAAATACCTTTGCACTTAAAAGTGCATATTATGTGTAGTCATTACCCATCACTTTTTGTTATCAGTTTCGGTTGGATATTTCACCTTTGTGTCCTTTGATCAGTATATCAATTTAACTGCACTAACACCATCGGATGAGAACAGAATTTAAACTGAACACTGTTATTAAACTGAAATTAATCAACGTTAAATTGACTTGAGCTGAATAATAACATTATTGCCTTCTGTAGAGCTGCTTTACATCTGAATTGAATTAGTTTCGTCATTTTTGAACATTGAAAATGACAGTTATTGAACTGAATTGGAAAAAAAATGCAACTATAAATGAGCTGAATAATGATAGTGCTGCTCTACAGCTCAAATTGAAGTAATTAACTGATTAATTTGACAGCATTTACACTGTTATTGTCCTGTTTATTGATGTGAAGTTTCTTTGAAACAATCTGCATTGTATTAGGCATAAATAAATCCTAATTGATTTGACTTAATTTTGCTCTTGCAGTTACTCTAAAGCAGTGGTTTTCAAACCAGTCCTGCAAGCACCCCTAGCACCTCACATTGTGTATGTCTCCCATATCTGACACACCCATTTCAGGTCTTGCAGTCTCTACTAATGAGCTGATGAGTTGAATCAGGTGTGATAGATGAGGGAGGCACAGAAAATGTGCAGTGCTGGGGGTGCACGCAGGACCAGTTTGAAAACCACTGCTCTAAAGGATTCTGGCACAAGAGTGCATTAAAAACAGAAAAAGAAAAAAAGAAAAGAAAGAAAATGCCAATGAACCCATAATGTATTTTTATGCTGTAACACTGTCTTTTTCTTAATTGATAAACACTATAAAATAAAAATATAAAAATTTTGCTTCGGATATTTCAATTGGTATAAAGCAAAGGTAACAGCCAAACTCTCCTATTTTACACTTTTCTGTATAGATAAAAAAAAAAAGACCTTAAAAATGGTATGGCTCAGTGAACAAGCTATAACAAAAATACAAACGTATTGTCCGCACACTGATGTAACTGCTCCATAAAAATCATTTATTGAGGCAACGTTTCGACCACCAGGTCTTCGTCAGGGCCAATACGTTTGTATTTTTGTTATAGTTTGACTTTTTTTTGTCCTGCACCTGAGCCCTGTGTGGGTTTGTGGGATGTGCGCAACTTTCTTACACTTTGGTCAGTGAACAAGCTGACATGTAACATGAAGTGTATAAATACATCTCTTCTGTTTAAAAGAGCAGTCTGTTTATTAAAGCAGTGTTATAATCTAAACTTTTAAGTTGTGTAATGTATCTAGCAGTTGTTATTATGTACAACATATCATTGTATGTTAGTTTATTGTAAAAAAAAAAAAAAAAAAAAACTTTGCCCTTATCAAGATGGCAGATTCCCAACGCCACTCTTCACCGGAAACACACGGCAAATAATTTTGACCTTCCTTCCGGTTGGCTCCCGCCCCACGTAGCCATTTTGCGTTTCCTGGACAAAAAAGGGGGTTAGATAGAAAGACAATCAGTCCCATACTAAAACTAGTCTTCAAATCATACCGAGAATCAAAAGTGCGGATGTAACTGTGCAATATGATAGGCGCGGGAGCGGGCGAGCAGGTACACCAGCCGCGGCCCGTATTCAAAGAGGAAACATTTGGCTAGCTGGCTAACGAACCGTTAGCGAAAGAGTGAGATAAAGACTTCATAGACACTAAAGTGTTGTACGACGTTCATAATTATCATATTATACTCTTAAGCACGCTAGAAGGCGGACGTTGGTAGAAATATGGACCGTGTGTTGATTTGAAACGTCGCAGCGGAGAAAAAACAGCAAACGCCACGGTTATTTGCGGAGGAAGCCGGATAAGTGTTTATTCACCGGGAATAAAGCGCAGGATCGCAGCACACCACGGTAAGACAGTCTGTTTTATTTGAACACTTGAGTTTATAACATAATGGTGATTGTGAGACATTTATAGCTGCATAGATTTCAGGCTTTCGGTGTTGACAGACGCTCATCTCGAGCCTGTCATGAACTAGCCGGACATCTTCCATCATTACACTATAACCATGGGCTTGTACCAAAATCATAACACAATCATTCCCTTTTAAGTTAATGGATATGTCTCAAAACCTAGTGAGCATCGGACACAGTATTTTGTCTCTAATACCCTAAAATGCCGTTTTGAGAGACAGCCGGTGTGTTTCTCTATTGTTTAGTTTCCCTTTTCCAGCAGAACACCGGAAACTGATTCTGCCCCCATCCCTAATTAGCATTCATACAATAGTATGCAAATCTTCACACTTTTTTAAAAAGCACTTGACAATTCATTCAGCCCCGAGGCCAACAAAAGTGCTGCACTGCACACAAACTAAAAAGGTTTTAGTGATGTGAAAGGTGTGCTTCAACTGCACAAACACATTATGGACTTAAGTGCACTCAGTGGGTGGAAGGAAGAACATTACTGGGTACCATTTAAGTACAATAATAGCACATAAGTCTAAGTGTAATCAATACTTGATATTTATTGTGTAATGTTAGAAGACTGTCAAAGACCTCATCAATACTTTGTAAAGATGCACTTCTCAGTCTTGATTGCTGCAGGTTTTGGATGACACACCCAGGTCTTGGAGCCTATATGTGTGAACTGAAGATATAAGGTGGGGTTAACAGATGTTTCATCCAAAAATGAAAATGCTTTCAAAAATTACTCAACCTAATCCAAGCCTATATGAAGGTTTAATGAAGTTTTTTTTTTAATAAACCTGATATATTTTACTCCTTCAATTGAAAATCAGTGTGGCTAAAACGTTGATGCTTCTAAAAGTCCATAAAAGACATCAAAAAATAATCTGAGTAGACGTCATTGCTTTATACGATGAACAGATTTAATTTAGGATTTTATTCATATTTAAACAATTAATCAGTGTTTTTAGGAATTCTTTGAATCAAAGTTTGGGTTACATTAACTTAAAGTTAAGGGTCAGAACCCTCTTAGGTTTTTATAAAATATCATCATTTGAGTTTCAAAGATGAACGAATGGGTTTGGAATGACGTGAGGGTGAGTCAATGATGACCGAATTTTCATTTTTGAGTGAACCATCCCTTAAATATACAGATATCCAAAATGTGCAAATTGAGAACTACTGTTCATAAGAGTCGTATTGTGGGTTGGTTTGCAGCTGTGGGTTTTCCCTTAGATCTTACGTGAACCTCCTTTCTTTAAACAGGAAATGCGAAATAGGCTTCTCCATCCCATAGACCCCCACCACCCTGTAATCATGCTGTTTGAAGCAAAGGAAGTACTGGTGATCCACAGAGCTCAAATGACATGTGCTTCTCCTTGATGTATTTTCTAGTCTTCATTACCAGAAATGACAAAAGTTTCCAATGCCGCTAAAAGCTTTGAAACTCGGATGAACTTCTTTGGCTTTTACCTTCTTGCTTGTCTCCCGCGGTGTGATTGAGTCACCGTCTGACTTATTGTGCAGGGGTGTCTGGTTGAAGTATTATATTTCGATCTGAGTGTCTGTTCTGGAGTTGTTTTCTGAGCTGATTGTCCCAACACGTGTTCGTCGGGAACGGCCATGTCTATCATGGGTCCTCTGTGCTCCATGTCAGATATGTTCTATTGGTGCGTTCAAGTCATGTCGGATAGATCGTATTTACGAGTTGAACGCACATGAACGCCACCACAAAGTCGTTATTACGAGTGGGAAACTCGAAATTTTCTTTAAGCCCCGAGTTTCCGAGTTGGGTCAATGAGAAACATGGCGGAATCGATGGATGCAACGTCTGTAGTTGACAGTAAATTTTTGTTTAAATTGATAGTTTAGTTGTCCTATAAACTGAAACTGGTCATGTTCTTGTTACGCAGCTAGTTAATGAAATCCAAGTAAAAAAATGC